TTCTGATATTCAGTCTTTCTGTAATACTCTCTCCTTGACTAATTTGCTTCTGGCCAATAGAATATGGGATCATTGAGGATATATCTCTTCCAGGATTAGGTTAGAAGGATTGTGAATTCTGTTTTACTAGTACACTCTCTCTATTGCTTTCACAGCTTGCACACTTAGATGAAGCAAGCTGTCACATTGGAGAGGCCATATGATAAGGCACTGAGGGTGGCCTCTGGCCAACAGTGAGCAGGAAACTTCAATCCAAGAACCTGCAAGGAACTGAATACCGCCTGCAATCTCTGAGTGACCTTCCCCAGTTGAGCCTTCAGATGAGACTGCAGATCATGGGTGGGTACCTTGATGCATGCATACTTTGAGAGGTCATGCAGCAAAGAATCCCGTGAAATTGTGCTCAGATTCCTGGCCTACAGCAATTGAAAGATAATAAGTGTGTGTCGTTTAAACCATTAAGTTTTGGAGTAATTTGTAATGCCACAATAGATAACTTACTTGTGAGCTCTGGAGATGAAGGCTAGATTTGGGATTCACCAGAACATAGACAATATATACTGACTGTGAAAAGGTTCAACAGAAACAGTGTGTAGAAATGGAGAAAGGGGAATTGGTAATGAAGCTGGAAGAACAGAAAAATTAAGAAGTGGGTGTAGTACCAGGAACCTGAAAAGAACTATAAAGAAATAGAGTTCTGAAAAGCTGGGAATTGCAAGTTTCAGGGAGGCATGACCAAACATCAAATGGCAAGATGACTGAAAACTGCTTTTAGCAACAAGGTGAACTTTGCTTACCTTGATGCGAACAATTTCAAAGAAGTGATTTGGCGCAGGCAGATTTCAATAGATTGGGGACAAAACACAAAGCTGGAAGGTAAAGGAAACTTCTTTGAAGAAGCTTGGCTGTTGAGAGAAGGAAAAAGGTAATGTGATATTTGCAGTAAAATGAAGAGTTGGTGGCTTTTTATGACAGAACAGAGACTGGAGCATATTTGTGTGATGAGGGCTTCTTGGTAATGCAAATTTTGATTACATTTTCTGTTATCTGTAAAAGAGCTGTTATAAGAAAAACAACAGAGGAAATAACTTGCGTGGCTATTCATAGTCCTCCTGCCCTTTTGAAGGTGCTTACATGTCCATTTGCTTATTACATAACAAAACATGGCATCCATTTTTTACATAACATAAACATTTCTGAATGTGGTTATATTGGCAGCATAGTTATTTTTAATATTGTTATAATATATTGTCAAGTTTGTGTACTATAAATAATCTGTTTTCTGTTTGTTGGACTTCTAGGTTATTTCCAACTTTTTATAACTGGAAATAATGCTTTGATTAATTGCAGATTTGTTCCAAAACAAAAACAGAAGTCTCCCCCTAAGAGATGTTTTTCTGGATGTTTGCCCAAGATAGCACTCTTCATGCTAAAGGCTCTGAGCTGAAGTCCCTGAAAATGCATGCAAAAACTACAGGGCCTCTTTCTTTGTTATTCTTTTATTATTCCAAACTTCAAAAACCCAACAGGTGGGCTGCTCAAATATACAGAAAGAGATCGTTGAGTGGCCAGGTCGACTTTAAACTTTCTGTGAACCTGAATGTATGTGTTCTGTGTTGCTTTCTACCAGCATGCTGAGGTCCATGAAATACAACAGAGAAGGCCTCAATCATCTTTCTTCTTTTTGCTTATTTATATTTTTATATTGGAAGGAAGGTAGCTATCTTTAATACCTTCCTTGCCTTTGCACACCAAGTAAAATAATCCACTCTCCCTGGGAGGGCCCAGTGCCTTGCCAGAAACTATCTTCCATTTGAGCTTATAGCAATTGTTGCAAATCTGCTAAACATTACATTTGCCAAATCCTTCCTAAGAATCCTATCACATTTCTGGTGAGACGCTTGTTGAAAGTAGCTTTTACTGTGTTTGCAGCAGTCAGCTGAAATGCAATGTTTAAAATAGAGTATGTCATCATCCCTCTCTCACTGTTCTCCTCCTGACTCAACCTCTCTGAGACCACCCTCCTTTTATTCATCCTGATTTAAATGATGAAGGCATCTTCTTACTTCTCAGCGACTGTGCAAAGTATGATAGTTACCTACAAAAACACAGGGACAACAAAATGGACCAGGTCTTTAAAAATCAACCACTGGGGAAGACCCAGGAAGGACATCTCAGAGTAGTGAAGAGCTGCGGTTCTAGAACAAAGGGACCTGGGTTCTCAAGTAAATGGATGAGCTCTGTGATTTGGGGCAAGTTACTTAAGTGCTCTGACTCCTTAGCTGTAAGACAGGATCTTTACAAGGAACTGAAGGAGGCTTACCACACCACCTGGCTTAAAGTTAAGACCTTGACAAATCAGCAACTATTATTATTACCAATAAAAACAGAACTGGGTGCAAAAATAAATAATGTGGCAGTTAGAGACCCTCTGGGTGAAACTGCAGCAGTGGGCAGTCCAGGTCAGGAGGCAGCAGGAGGTTCAAGCAGGGAGAAGTCATGGTGTTGCTCCTGTGAATGGCAGGAGCACAGTGACGGGAGCCTGGGGGCTACACAAAATGAACAGTCCTGTGGGCAGGCAGTGGGCATCAGAATTCTCTCCATTGGTGGAAGGACTAGTTACCAGGCAGAATTTTACTGGTCAGATTCCTACTCTATTGATGGTGACAGTAGGAGTGAGATTAGATTCCAACCCACAGAAACCAAGACAAGGGGCTAGGCTCTGAGAGCCACTAAGACTCAGAGAACAAATGGGGAGCTGTTTCCAAACAGGGTGTGACTAAGCCTGGGATTATGCCTGGACGCTGAGCTATCTACCTGGAAGAGGCTCCCTCTGTCCCACCGGCCAAAACTTTCCAATGGCTCCTCCCAGCCTGTAGCTGAGAGAACACAGGGACAACATCTGCACTTTGGAATAGCTAATTGGCTGGGGGGAAAGGTGCTATGCACACAAGAGTAAACTTGACTGTGCTGGGGCATGTCAATCTCCAAGATCATGCTGAGCTTTTATGAGAGGTTAAATAAGATGAGTATATGCATTTTTCCTGGGAAAGAAGCCATAGTTTTTATCCATCTCAAAAGGGTCCATGGTCCATGACCTCACAAGAGAGGATTAATGCTTTACACAAGTGTTCTTTTTAAGCAAAAATCCTGCAACCTACCTCATTTCTTTTCATTCTTATCTTGACCAAATGTGTTTATCTTCTGACAGGATTTTCTCACACACATGGGCTTCCAATTATCATTCTATCTTCCGATTTGCTCCTCTCCTCCTTTGTTAAAGTCAACCAGTATCTGGCCCTAGCCAGTTTGACTCAGTGGATAGAGCATCGGCCTGCAGACCGAAGGGTCCCGGGTTTGATTTTGGTCAAGGGCATGTACCTCAGTGGCAGGCTTTTCCCTGGTCCCAGCCCTGGTCAGGGCTCATGCAGGAGACAACCAATTGATGTGTTTCTCTCACACTGTTTCTCTGTCTCTCTCTCTCTCTAAGAATCAATGGAAAAATATCCTCAGGTGAGGATTTAAAAAAAATCAATCAATATCTGATCCACTAATGAGCCCAATTCTTACGATTAATTATGACTGTATTTTTATACATTTAAGTTTTAGATATTTAAAAAAGCCTATCAATGGGTTCCTATTGGTCGGGGGCTACTCAGAAAGGGCTCAATCTGTCTTCTCGGAATGAGGGGCATTGCCCTTCTCTTCTGTGACTTCAGTCTTTACCCGCTCCCTCGCCCTCCATGTCTTTTACTTCTCCTCTTGATCCTTCACAGCTCAGCTCAAGTTCTGTCTACTCTCTGGTAGCTTCTGGGATAGCTTCAGTCCTCAGAATTACCTCCCTCTTCCCAAGTCTGTAACCGTTACTTAGTGCCAGGAAAATAAGTGTAAGAGCATTCGCATGTTGTCTGGCAGACTTTCCCATCCCGACACCTTGTCACAACCCTTGATAGTACTAGCATCACCCTTTAACAGGCAAAGACACTGAAGACTAGACAACTCCATTCAGTAATTGGACTCAGGTCCAAATAACAAACATGGGAGAAGCAAAGTCGCAGCATCGGGACTGATTCCAAAGTGCAGTACATTTTGACGGCACAAGGCTATTCTGTTTACTTTCCATTGACTCATCCTGTTGCACAATTGAATCTTAGGCTGCTGTCTACTAGCTCTTGGGAATACTGTGCATTTGTTATGACGGCACAGGAGTAGTTATCGGAAGGACAAACTGGCTTTTCTCTTAGGTCTCCCACAAAAGAGAGAATGTGGTACAAAAATCTGATACTAGCAGCATTCACTTTCTATCATTAATCTTACAGTACACTGAACCTATTCAATACTTTTGAAGGTTAAGAAAATATAGTACAGGGAAAAAATAAATTATCTCAATGATTCCTTTAATGCGCCACCTTACCTTCGTGGCATTTCCCTCATTTCCTCAGGGAAAGGCTATTTCTCCAACTCATTTCTGTTCAATTGATTGCTAGGATTTCTCTCTCTTTAGACCATTTGTATTAGAGGAAGGAACAAGCTGGCTTTTTCAATAGAACTAAATTTCAAAAAACAAATTGCCTTTTAGGAAAGTTGAAAATCAGCATCATAGTCTCAAGATCAGAAAAGGAGAGGTTAAATTTTCCACTGCTGCTAACTCTTAAAAGCACTTGAAGAAAATGGATCTCAATAAATGGACTTCTGAGAGGAAAAAGGAAGAGACAACAAAGGCATGTGTTGCATTTTCTGTCCAAAGGCTAGTTCATCTCCTGCAATTTTCGTGTCGCATGGCCAGGGCTGCTGAGGTTTCAATTATCTTACAGCCCAGGCAATTTCAGGCAAATTTACAGTTTCACTCGGAACTACAGTTCAACGAGGTCAATATTTTACAGCTAATGAAACTACGGTCCAATGGCTAATGTCAAGTCCATCCACTTCCCTCAGAGCAGAAGAATTTGATTTATCTAAAGCTCTCCTGTCTTGGTCAGGAAGCTTCTATCCAAAAATAAATACTTACTACAATTAAGAAATACAAATATTAGCATCACTATATTTAGAAGAAAACTGTTAAAGCTTCCAAACCACATGGATTAGAGCTTACAGCATTTTTCCCCAAGAGACCAGAAAAGGATTGGAGAGTTAGGAAAGATCTTAGAAATGATTTTAAGAGCAAGATGAAGTCATTAGTCTCAGTTAGAATTTCTCTGTTTTTCTTAATTAGGAGGCAGTGGGTACAGTAGAAAGTTCTAGACACACTGGGGCCCAGATTTATCTTTATTAGCTGGGACCCCAGACATGTTATCTCACCTGCAAAACCCGTTTTTATTTCAAGGACAGAGGTGGACTAGATGACCTTTGGCATTGTCCTGTGAATCTGTTATGCTTACCTTATCCTAATAGAAAAATTCCGAATAGGAAAATCCAGCGGTTACCACCTTAGATTAGCCTGACTCCTTTTTGCTTCAGTTAGTGACTTTCCTCTCAACTGGGGTCTGATTTTCAGCTGTGCTGTAGCACCTGACCTTGACCAGCTCACACTTGTTCTCTCCACAGGGGCAGCAGCAGCAGTGTGGTGGGGAAGTGAAACCTCTACACCAGATCAGAACTGTCTAATTTATACTTTTCGCAAGTTTTTTTCTGTGGGATTCTTTGTACCAGTGTTCCTCTCTTGGTTTTTCTCTCTCCCCCTAGTAGGGTAGACTTTGTTCATTAGCAGAATTGTGTCTTAGCTGCTTCCTATAGCAAATGATTATTTGAGTTCAGAAAAAAGCGGACTTATTACGTTCCAAGCACTGTTCTGCATCCTTTGCATATCTGAAGGCATTTAATCCTCAGAGAGCTCTGTTTAGTACATGTGTATCCCTTCCTATCCAAGTCTATTCCCTTCCCGAATTCAGTGGTGAGAGGTCAGAGTTCCTTGAGCTTGGAA